TCCATAATATAAATTAAACATAACTTGAAAATAGAAATTTTCCAAACCCTTAGCTTAATTCAGGTTCAAAAAAGTTAGAATGCACTATGTTGTCTAATACTAAACAACCCCTTTGCCTATATAAAATTAGATATATTTACATAATAAAAAATTAATGTATCTAATTCTAAAATTATTTACTGTAGCCTGAAATTCATAGGGCTTATTTCATGGTCCTTGAATGATGAGAATAACTATCACTTTGTAACACTGGTTGTGTGTTTATGAAATCGGTTATGTCTTATTCATCTTCTCATGCCTATAAAATGGGCACTCAGTAGTATTATTATTAAATTTAGCACTAATGTTTAGCTAACAATTATTTTCCCTTTTGTTATATTTTTAGCTGAGCAATTAATTTAAAGTTCCACATTACCAAGCTAATACTAACTACATTTTAATTTACTCTCCAAAATTTTAACCAAAACATAATAATCATATATCCTGCTTATTATATCCTCCAAAATAATTGAGAAAGCATGTATTACTTTTAGGCTTAAGGAGAGTAAGCAGATTGACCTTGAATTATTAATGATGGCTGTTTCATTTTTGCTTAATTGTGAGCCATTTCACAGTATCTGAGAAAAACCAAAAATTTTCCTTAAAATTCCACAGAGGATTATATAATAACAGAAGTAGAAAATTCTTATTATCAGAGAAATAAACCAACACAGTAAAAGGATGATGCAATACTTAACAAATAAAATTATACTTTTTAAATCTATAATCATCTGTCTTTCTTTTATAAATGTTATCATGGATTAGAAGTCTTACACCTTCAAGTTGTAATCTATGCTTTTAATAGACAAAATCTGTTACTTATACATGCAATAAGCAATTTCATACCCAGCTTTTGCACTCTACACATTTCCCCAAGTTTCTTCTAAAACTACAATTTCTTCATTTTTGTTCCTGGACATTTATCATCCTCAGCAAGTCAAGGTGTGAAGGGGAAAAAAGAGTTTAAGAAACCAAATTTTTTAATTTTCAAAATTCCAAAGTAGGAAAGATAAGTCATCCACATAGAAACAGGAAGGAAAGGAAATATATAAAAACCAAGGCTTTCTTGGTGGTGGGATTAAGAAATACTAATTGTTAGTTACAAAATAGGCTTGCAGAATGTGAACCACAGCATAGGGAATATAGTTAACAATGCTGTAACAACCATCTATGGTGCCAGATGGGCTCTTAAATTATGGGAGGGATCATTTGTAACCTATATGGGTGCCTTTCCGCTGTGATGTACACCTTGAAACTAATACAAAAATGTTTGACTGCAAACTATTAAAATAATTAATTAATTTTAAAAATCCCACAAGGTTTTCTTAATTGCCTTTCATTCGTCCTCCGGTAAAATTAAGCCTCACTCCTTTAGCAGCCCCAGTTTTGGGAAGAGCGTCCTGCGGGAAATACATCACAGGGCTAGTAAGTGCTATTCCTCCACATCACAGGTCACAGGTGTATGTTCCTAGTTTGTAAAGTTACAAACTAGGTGAAGTGTTTCCTCATCTCTCAGGAGCAAATGCCAATGCTGGGGGCAGTACATTTTCTATAATGTGTACTTTCAATCTCTCAGGATGCAATATAGATCCATTTTCTCTTTTCTTTGCTCTCAATAAAGACAGATTGATCACTCTCTCACTTGTGTAGTATTTGTTTAACCACTTAACATTTGTTATGTCCCCTTCCCCTTTTCTTCTCAATGTTCCCTTCCTCGATCCTTTTAAACTCTCCTCAGATAAGCTCTTTCCCAAAATGTTAATCTCTTTACTGTATTCCATCTCTTTTAAGCATCACAGTCTCCAATTTCTCACAATCTTCTAATCTAGGCTGAAAGAAATGTGAAATACAGACATTTGAATTTCTCTACACTTTTGTTATAATCTGGTATTCAAGTTAACATATTGAAATATTTGTTTCTATAAAATAGCACTTAATATCATATTATGTTTTAAACAGTAAGAAAGATATAAAGACGAGTAGCAAATATTTCTAAAAGACTAGACTTGAGCACTCCAAAGATAATAAGAAAAATTAGATCCAAGGAGAACTCATCTCAACTAAACTGTCTTTTTAATTTATATGCTGGTACATATGGGCTCTGCTAACTGCTTCCTTATATTACCAGAGAAAATAAATGGCTAATAAAATTTAATGAGACTCAAATATACTCACTATTTCATTTAGTCAAATTATATAAATTTTAAAACCCCCAAAAAACTATTTTTGGTTAGAGGCCAGAATAGTGGTAATTGCTTGGGTAGTAGTAGCCAAGTAGAAGAGGTGAAATTCTGGGCTTAATGAGATACTTAGTACTGTTGGGGCTACTGAACATAGTGGCTTGTTAATATTTTGGTCAGTGATTATTCAGGCATTCTCATTTTGTGAAAATTTCTTGAGCTATGCATCTATGATTTTTGTCTTTTTCTACATATATAGTATTCTTTAATAAAAAGTTTAAAAGTAAAAGTTAATTGCTATCTATGAACCTTATTTTAATCATGAGTCAACAACTTAACTGTAAATATAAATAATATTTATGAAAAGATTGTGGTAATGTGGATAACAAGGGTAGAAAAAATTAAGAAGAATATTGTTATTGTGGTTATGCTAAAATAAACTTTATCTTTAATAAGCATATGCTGAAATATTAATAATTAAACAGTAGGATCTCTGAATTTACTTTAAAAATCTCAGTGAAGGGGGAGTTGTGTTAGCGTTTGGATGAAACAAATTTGGCAAAGAATTGATCATTGTTTAAACTGGAGAAAATGGAGAGTTTATTCTCTGTGTTTTGTACGTACTTATATTTTTCAATTATTTTCAAAATCTTTAAAAAGTATAATTTAGAACTAAATATCATTCTAATATTGTTCTCTATTGTCATTGTTCTAATAAAAAAGTTGAGATAAATCAAGATATATCTACTGAAATGTATCTATATTTCATGATGTCAATATAATCATCTGACGAGTAATTAATTCTGGGGCAAATAAACCTTAAAACACCAAGGGATTAGTTCTGGTATTAGGTTTATTAATGGTGAAAAAAAGGTACAAGAATTTTATTTTGTTTCTTATTTTTAAAAATATTTTTATTCACTTTCAGAGAGAGAGGAAAAGACAGGGAGAAAGATCAATGTGAGAGCTGCCTCATGCATGCTCCCTACTGGGGATGTAGCCTGAAACCAGGGCACGTGCCCTGACCTGGAATCCAACTGGCCACCTTTCACCTTTCAGTGCCCGGAATCATGCCCAACTAACCGAATCACACTGGCCAGGGCAAGAATTTTATACCAGTTTTAAAGGTCAGTCTCCAAGTTTTCTATACATTTTCTAAGAATAAAATAATAGCAACTGTCAAACTGTAACATTTACTCTCCTACCTATTCCTACCACCATTTTGATTAAACCTACATGTGAAATATTTTATCTTACATACATCATCAAGTATACATCATCAAAACAACCTATTATATTCACTTTATCTACTGTTGCCATTGTTGACTCAATATTTTCTTTCTACTACGTGCTGCACTTTGAGTCAAAACCCAAAGATATGTTTAATATGATATGAGAACTCCTCAACTTTGGCTATTTCTTTAATTGGGGTGATTCCAAATTTAATCCAGGAAATATATGTTTGATATTGATTTGATCAATGTATTACTTCTATTTTTAGGTCTTTTCTTTTCTAAAACATGTGCTTAAAATTTTTGACAAAAACATTTGCAAATATGCTTTTTATTAAATAATGTAGTCATTATCTAATTTTCAGCTGCAATATAGTTAGTAGACTTGAAACACTTGATAACAAACTGAAGTCATATTTCTAGTATGTATATAATATACCACGATATATCCAACAATATTACCTATAATATTTGGATCTGGTGCAAAATTTTGACTAATACCAACATTGAAAGGAGAAAGAAGCCCTAATGATTGCAACATTTTTACAAGTAGTAAAAATAATGTCTTCCTCATAATACATAAACACTGGAACTAAACCTCTATTTCTTCTGAAGTGTCATGGCTAATTTTGCTACCTATGCATTATTAACTGGTCCTCAAATATTCAACCATTACCTTAAAAATTAAAGGAGCAGACTAAAATTCTATCTCTTATCTGTTTATCATCAAGCACCATATTGTCATGTTAACAGCTTCAGATAATTAAATAGCTATTAGTTAAATAAACTCACTCTTGTGATAAACATAATCATTGTCGTTCTCTGGTAATGAATAGATATAATTAAATTAAATTAAAAATAGAATGCCTGTATACAGGATGCAAATATGTGCAAATGTGCATATGATGGAATCATAAAAATAGAATGCAGAAAACATTTATAAACACTTGTTGAACTCAATGACTCAAAAGCTGTCATTGGTAATTTACATAAGTCTGTTGTACAGATTATAGAAGTTTTATTGAAATGAAGTTCATATATAATCTTTTCAATTCTTGGAGTTAAAAATGTATTTCTAGGACAAAAGATACAGTTATGCGTCTAGGCATAATATATAAATATAAAGTGATATAATGTCAAATGTAATGTACCAATTATAGAATCAGAAACAAACTTCTGATTTTTATTCACAAAATTTCTAGTTTACCATTTGTTTGTATCTTTATCCATGTGTATGTAATTACATTTGGGGATTTTTTTTTTTCGAATCTCCTCTATTCTCCCCATGTAAACTGATGTAGATAATTAGGGATCACCAATTAGAGGTTCTTATTGGACATTCATATAAAACTACCCTGGTTTTTATTATACTTTGGGAAACATTTAATTGACTCATTATGCTGAGGTTAGTCTTTATTCAGTGGTATTATTCAATCTTGAACCTCGCAGACCAAAGCAGTTTCCAAGTTATCTTGTCTAAATGACACCACCTAATTTCTATTAAAACAATTTCAGAAGACGCATACTCATTCAAAAAAAGTCTGGCACATTGAGTATTAAATGATGTTTAATGATATTTATAAGCAATTGAATCTTTATATTCCGGACTATTTACAATATCTTTATAACTTAATGAATTTAGACTCATAAATCTTCAGTTTGATGAGGCAGGAAAAATTCCCAAGTAAATATTCCTTTTCAGTGAATAATTCTATTTATATTTTAATTGCTAATCTTCCTTTGTTAGGCTCACATGATGGACAAATGCTTAAATGAAGTTATTTCCAATGTGCAAAATAAGAAAGAGGATGGAAATGATCTGTAATATAAAATGAGGTATATAATTAATATGTGAAATGTTAACTCAAAAATATGCAAAGTATGCATAAATAAACTGCATTAAATAATAGGTGAAGACTCACATACCAAGGAGCGTAAACTAGTGAATAAAGATATAAATTACCTTTATCAATGGTCTTCTCTATATTCCCTTAAAAAATGTACAACAGTTTATTTAACTGTAAGTATCTCAATGAAAACTCAATAATGTTACTAGGAATATGCAAATAAATAACTCCTGCATGGGGATTAAATACAAAAATAAGTGGCTAATTCAGGGGAAAGTATATAATTATTGGTCTAATGAAAAATGGGAGCTAAAATAGGAAAGCTCCTAGTAAATAAAATATGTTAAAAAAAAAAAGATTGTCTCACAGTCCCTGTAAGAAAGGAATTAGTTACAATTCTAAGAATGTCAATAAATACAAAACAAATTTAACTCTTTCTTAGGATATAAAATAAGTTCTTGGAACAAATCAAAAGAAATTTAAAATCTCAAAGTATTAAAAAACTTCATGTTAACTTCATATTTTACCAAATACCCTAGTTAGGTGCATTTTAATATTTTGAATGAATTCAAATTCTACTTCCTCTCACAAAAAAATGTAGGTATGAGCTAGAGAGAAATACAACTAATTTAAAACGTGTTTTAATTTGAAGAAAAAAAGAAAGTTTCCCTTGACATATCAAAAAGTGTGTGTGTCAAGGAAAGTGTGAGGACAGCATTAAAGAAATTTGGGGTACTTTAAAAACACTCATTTATTTATCCATTCATTCATTTCTCATCAATAATTATTTAGCACTTATAATATATATAACTGGGTAATCAGTCTCAATACCCCAAGAGTATTGATTACTACTAGTTCTAATGTACCCAAAGGTACACATTTTTAGTGAAGTGATGTCACAAAAGCACTGATGTCTGAATAAGTAAAAAACATGTTGCCTACAGACATTGCCAGAGGGCAAAGTTCTCTGTTTCACATTTGTACCTTACAAAAGACTTTTATAGCTTTCACTTTAAATCATACTGGTTGAGATAAATCATCCATTAACCAACACCTAATGAGTAAGAAATGAGCTAACATTATATCTCATTTATCTAAAGTTATAGGGAGGTTCCAGTCAGCTGCTGAATCAGTTAACTGGAGTAATTATATGAAATGTGAATAGATGAACTATTTCAAAAAAGTAAACTATCATAAAATTCAGTGATCATTAAATTAAACAGTAGATACATAGAGAATATAAATTGGGTTGGGTACTTTTTTATCTTGAATTATCATTTATTCTTGCTCACAGAGGTGAGGAGATCAAATGATTTTGATTATGAGAGATTGTTAATTCATGAGAAAAGGAATTCAATGGAAAAATAGAAAGACTGGTGTTATTCAAAGACCAAAGATTTGTCACAATGAGATACACTAAAAAAGTGAGAAAATCAGTTGTTTATGAATCTAGATATATACTTATAAAGAAGAGAGTACAAAAATATCAGAAATAGGTAATTATAAAAAAAAGTAGCACAACTTGAAAAAAAAGTGAACAGAAATAAACATATCTGCTGGAAAAGGACAAAAATCCAAAAAAGGTGTCCATCCATTTAGTGATGTATGGGTCTATGAGACAGAAATGTTGAAAAGGTCATATATAAAAATATGCATTTGTGGACTTTAATATTTGATAAGTGGATTATCTTTATGACATTAGAGGAATATACAAATCTCATATTTAGGGTATGCTGTATACAAAAGAGTATGTAAATATGAGGATAATGTGTATCAATAAGACATTTTATTTTGAATTCTATATATGTTCTTGCCACACTATTGAGTTCAAGAAATCATGAAAACGTACAGAAGGAAGCCTGAAGTCATGAAGCGATTGGAAGAGATGTGACTAAACAAAACATGCTCTACAATTCCAATCAAATAAAAACTTCAAGTGCTCCGTGGAATTAATATAGATGCTCCAAATAAATTTCCCAATCAGAGGTTTACTAAAAACAAAGTCTAGGTAAAATGTCAGCAATATTTTAAAGGCAATGTTTTGAAGTTCCGACATCTTTTCTTACGTTATGACATGGATGAGTAGCATTGAAATTTCAAAAAGGCTCAAAAGTAGGCAAAACTAAAGTGAGGTCAGGAAGCAGCTAGCATGATATTTCAGCACATATGGACTAGTCTAAATGTGGTATGCTTTGAAGGCAGGAAATGTCATGGATTTAGAATTTTGAAAATTAGTATGTCAATGTATTTTTCTCACTTTATTCTTTATAATCTATTGTTGTATGACTTTAATAAATGAAAGATTTTCACAAATATATTTTAGATAAAATTTCTTTGATTATTTATCTTATGATTGTCTTCAATTTTTCAATTCTTAGGGACTATGTTTATTGACAAAAAAAATCAACAATTTTTCTAATACTTATACCATTACTTCTGTATTGTTTAGGATGATTATTTACTGAAAGACATGTTTATTTACTGACAAAAATCTTACAAGATCTGATCAAAATGTGAAGACAAAATTATAAGCAAGAATGATTGAAAAATAATATTAAAGATGTTTTAACTATTGGGTTTTTCTAAGTTATATTAATAACTTTTACCAATTATATTCTTAAATTATTTTTGTTCTTATTTGCTGTGACAATCCAGATTGTTTTATGTATAACTTATTATGTCATTTGAAAGACTACGTTATTTTTTAAAGATGCCTATAATTCTAATTCTTCAATTCATCATCATAAAAATAGGTTATTTTTAAACCTCAGAGACTAACCATGGGTGCTGGTTAGGGATCAATGGGGAAAAAGAAGGACTTCTATAATACTTTCAACAATATAAATTTTTTTTAAAATGCTGAAGATGTAAAAAAAAAGCATACAGTCAAGTAGAAGGAACATCATGAGGTATCATAGGAGACAGCTAAAAAAAAGATATCTTCTGAAAACAAGTTAAAGTAAGATTTAAGTATTTTTATTACTCTAATAAAATGAAGTATCATAGGGACAGCTAAAAAAAAGATAACTTCTGAAAACAAGCTAAAGTAAGATTTAAGTATTTTTATTACTCTAATAAAAATTTAAGGTGAGGTTACGCTAAAATTCATTAACATTTTAAGATAAATCTAAACACTGTGTAGACTTTATTTCATGATAAATATATTCTACATGTTTAAATTTCTTTTCTTAATTTTTAAGTGTGTCACTTTGGTCCTTATCAGAGTATTAGCAAATGACGACATTGTAACAAAAATAAGAGCATGTTCATAAAGTGCTCATGACTAAGGAGCAAGTATTTAGAGATGTGTTTTCAAAATTACTCCTGGTTAAAAAAAATAGATTCTTTTTCATTAAATGCTTCGTGTATGCGCTCATGAATCTTTTCTTTAAACAAAAGGAAACATGAGACTGTATTTAGGTATGCTGTTATAAACACAAAATACAATTTTTTAACGCGTACTTTTGTGTAAAAATTGGTTCTTGCCATTTTCAATTTTAACCTCAGCAATCAGAGGTATAGAAATGGAAAGTTCTTGGGTATAAACAATGATCTCATTTGTATTATTAAGCATGTCACTATTTTCCTGTCATCATTTCATAAATGACAGCGGTAGCCTCATTGAGCTTTTTTTAGAGCTTTAACTGAGTATACAGCTACTGCTCTGAACATCAAAATGTACATTATGTTCATTATAAAACTAAATGCAAGTTTAGCAAAAGAAAAACTGCTACCTCAATAATTATTTAAACATTCTCATTAAAAGCAAATAATTAGAGTCAATTTTTAGATTCTTTAATTACATAAGGGATGCGCTTTTTCAATTTAGAAGATCAGGATATTTCCATTGCCAATGATAAATGATACATCTTTTAACAACTATTATCATGTGAATTTGGAGGGCAAAATGACCAGGAATGGTTTTGGGTTATAGTTTGCATTATTAGGTTAAAATTGACTATGCCTGTTAAATCAGAGCCACGATGTAATTTTAAAGATAATTGTGTGAGTCTAAGATGACATGAAACACTAGAAGTTTTAAAAATATTCAGACATGATTAAAATTATATGAAGAACTAAGGACAATATAAGTAAGAGCAAAATAGCTATTGTTCTACTTATTTTTCATCGAGGTCACAATTCATCCTATCCCCTAAATTTTGAATAATGTGAGCTGGCTAAACAGAAAAAATAAATTGTTATTGAAAACTAATTTATTCTAATACATATTTGGATAATACGCAAACAAATGCAATTTTCTTGATAATATAATAGACACATTCATTGATTTCTAGCAACACACATAACAGTTAACATATTTCATAATCCCTAAAATTAGATTCATAAACGAAAATACTAGATTCTTAGGAATTAGAGAAATTTTCATTAAAATATAAGCAGCATTAACATTTGCATTAATAAAATTGTTACTGTGAAACTTGAAATTAAAAAGAAAAACTAGTCAGTGGAGAAAGACATTTGTAAATGCTTAAATTTTCACTTCTGAATGTAAAACTTTAAAATCTGTATTCACTAAGAACAATAGAAGGCGAATCAATTTTTTCACTATATTTAATGCAGACTTACCAATTGATATATAGCAACAGTAAATATATGCATTTATTTAGAAATACAAATTTGAATTACTATGAATCATACGCTCTTTGACCTTTTGTGTTGAAATCATTGATAATGTATCTCTATAATGTGTAGTATTAATTTAAATTGAGGATATATTGTTTAAAATTTGGAAAAGCTTGTTTTTTGGTAACAAAATTTAAAATCCAGAATTCAGTTAGAGGGGCAAAGACTGCATAATAGTCCTCCCTTGTTAAAATTTAATTTTAGGCTACTTTAAAACACTAGTGCGTGTAGATATGTGAGTTAAACTTTAGTACTTTAGCATTTAAATTGCATCTTCATTATTAGATTAGATGTTTCAATATTTAAGTATTTGTATTTTCCTTGTATTTTATAACTTTAAAAAATAAATCAAAACAGTTATCAATTATTTATAGGGAGGCACAATTCTTTGGTTCTGAAATCCTAAATCGCTATATCATACTAGGGTAATTGCATTTCTAAATAATTTGAAAAGCTGAACATGATCCTTCATTAAACAACATTTGATCTTTGTTGCCATCACAATGTATGTATTCAATGGCAGATCTTTAGTTATATGACACTTGTGTATTCTTATTATAAACGGCCAGAATAGTAGCCAGGTCCTCGGTGCATCCAATCCATGCCTTTCACATTTATATTCATAACGACTAACATACGTGTTCTTCTACCTTTAAGTACTTTTTCTTTTTTCCTCCCATTTCATAAGTAATAAAAGTAATGCTACATCTGCAATCTATCTCATCTTCCATTTTTAGCTTATGGTTCCAGGATTTATTTATTTATTTTTGTACTAGACAATGAAAGTAAGAAAACATCATGTATGATGGACTTGCTATACACGATAAACGTCATCTTTTGATTGACTTGTTATGAATTGCATCCTCATGAAATATTAGTTCACATGGTTTGACCAAAATATTGAGTTATCAGTAGCAATTATCCACTAACTAAAAGATTCATATGTAGTAGACAATAAATAGTATAATTTCATTTCTTAGATCCTCCAAGGAAATAAACTACAGAGAATCTCAAAGCAGTTTTATGTTTCACAGTGGTTGTGTAAAATAACCCACTTAGGGAATATGGTCCCAAAATTGAAAGAGATGAGTGAAATTATCTAAGTTTCAATGTTAGAAGAATCTATTATTTCAAATAAATGAAGAATATTGCTATATTGATATGTTCTCATCACATAGTGCCTCTGGTTTGAATCAGACTTGAATCCACACCAACATATTACTTACTCACCCATGCTGAATGGTCAAAGTAAAGGCTGCACTGGTTTCTGAATTTAGGGTGATGTGTTCGATGCCACTGTGGTAAAGGGCGATTAAGCAATACTGCTGGCATCCATAGAAATGAGATCCCTCAGAGCCTCAAGTGTTAATTAAGAGATGTCTTTCTACCTGGATTAAGCCCTTCAAACAGCATGGAAACCAAGCAAGCAAGAGAGGAATATTCTCAGGAACTACGAAGAGCAGTTGAAAAATGTCTCCAACAACATCCAAAGTATTGCCTTTGATTGTTGACAACAACCATGTCCTAGCACCGAAACCTGTCTGCCTGTTCAGGAATTCGTTTTTCCACAGTAAAGTGCTGCCTGCGTCCAGCAGTCACTCTTATCCTTGTTTCTGAAGACCATCTGAACGCCTCTATGTTTACTAAGAAGCATGACGTGTTGAACTTTCTTCCCGCAAAGGGAACAACTTGATACAGCCTTTTACGGAATACTTACTCAAATAGGGTGGTTTGTAAGGCGCTCGTGTACTAGACAGCAGTCCGTCCAGCTCCTTCCTCTCCAGCGTGCTGTGAAGGGCCTTCTCTTTGCCGAAGGTGGAGAAGGACCGCTCTGCCGCCGGCTGCGCCTCCGGAGTTTCAAACACCTCGGTGTCTGGAACAGAGTCCATGCCAGGGACGTGCAGATTGCTGCGGTAATCGGCAGCCTGGCGCCCGTCCGAAGGGACGAAAGAAGGCATCCAGCACCGATCCGAGTGGCCCAGGGCTTTACATTCCTCGGTGCAGTTGGAGAAGAGATCCATACCTGGGGGCAGGAAAAAGAGAGACTGCAGATGTAGGCGTCACCCACGTGGCCCGCGGCACAGCCCTGAAAGATGACAGGCAGCACACAGAGTGATGTCCGGTCTTCACCATGTCCCTGTCTTCACCTAAGAACGGCCCACGATCTCTTTGTATTACTTTGTTAAGGATAAGGCTTTGGGCAAAGAGGTGTCTGGGATAGATGTTTCAAACTGCTCAGGGTATTGGGGGAAATATAGTGGCTCTAAATTTTTAAATATAATTTGGAAATGGTGAGTAGAAAGAAAAGGAATACTTTAAAAAAATCTCTGGTGAAGTTCATAACAGAAAAAAAAATTGTGTTAAGTTTTCATAATCCACAATCTCTCCTGATGATAAATCATCTGCCTTTTTTTTCTTAGAAGTAAAATTGGAAAAAATATATGCAAAGCACGAAAGTTGATATTTAGCTTTTGAAATCTGAACATGAAACAAAAAGTGAAATTCAACAGAAAACTGGCATGCATATTGATAAAGCAGTAAATAACAAGAATGAAATAAGATTTCACGAGTGGCCAAGAACATGCTTCCCTAGGTTCCCAGGAAATTACTTCCTAAAAGGTAATTCTCCATGACACTCTAGTAGCCCATGTTACTACAAACCACTTATCATTTACCAACTTAGACAAATTCAGAACAAATGACTGTAATTAGTGAAACCAAGGTAACCAAGTGCAATGGGAGTCAACTGCAGATACTATTGACAAGTACCTTATTACTTGTTCTATATTGGAAAAAACTGGTCCTTGTCAATGCACAGTTTGCTTACTAATCCTAGAATACAGCAGGTCCTCGAATAATGTCTCATCATTTCATTATAATGTCAATGAGATGTCATAGGAACTTAACCGCTTTCTTTTTTCTTATCAACTGGCCTATGCTATAACTGCTTTATTATAAGTCATTTGACAGAAACTATCAATGATGTTAAGTGAGGATTTGCTGTATCAAGATTTCAAATGTCAATTTCAAGTTTCACTGTCTCCCATAGGTTGACAAGACTATCACATATTATCTGATTATGGCTCGAGAAAACTCATTCAGTTTCTTAAATAAAGCATAATGATTTTGAGCACTATAGAATACTATTTGATATTCATTTGTATATTTAGCACTAATGCAGAAAAACAAGTCATAAACCAAGATAGCATTTTAATGTTTTTCTAAACATAGTAACACATTTATTGAATATGTCTTTAAACACGGTCAATTTGAAATAACCAAAGTAGGATTGGTCTGTATGTAAGAAACTCAAATGCATGTCGGGTCTGCATGGGATTTTTCTTGTTTGTTTAACTAACAGAGTAATATTTATTTAATGAACACACTTGATTATTTCTTTCATAAACATCATAAGTGATTTGAGTTCTTGAGCAAGTTTAAGTTTTAAATTCCTGATGGGATTCTGTCACATACTGATTTATTTGTTTGCATGTATATGTTAACATCTGTATATGTAAAATAAAGAGAATTAATTTTGCAAAATTACTAACCCTATAGGTTATCCATGAATTAAAATTAATTGATTACATAAACTATGTTGAAGGAAATAACACCAAGCTTCTTATCACATATGAATCTCACTTTACAATGACCTTTTAAATTTAAATTAAACATAATGCAAAGTCTAACTTCGATGATAACATTCCATTGACAGTTATTGTGCATAAGCCTGCAAATAAATTACTGATCAGTGAACTGTTGAGGAACAAAACGTGAGCTGAAGCCAGGATAAGGTCCACATGTAAGACATGTCAGTGTTTCCCTAGACATCAGAGGTCAGTTTTTTAATCCTATTTCTGCAAGCAGCTACGTAGAGAGAAAAAGAGAAGAGGAAAAAGAATGTCTCTGATGCATTGATATACCAGGTAGGTGGAAGCCAGAGAGATTTGTATTTTGCCATACTATACTTATATAAATGCTCCCTATTAATAATGTGCATGGTGAGGGGGGCTTTATTTGTAATAGATGGAACTAACATTAAGACTAAAATTATTATCAGCAATTATTTATTTTTAAAAATAAATTCAGGTTATATGGAATTCGAAGTTGATGGAATTATTCAAATATTAAGATAGAATTGTATTATTGGATCCTGATCAAGATGGATACCTAATGCAAAATTTAGAATTAATACAATTTTTCATCACATAACTGAAAATACCATTTTAAATATATGACAAGACTATTAACAATCTTTCACATATTTTGAGGGCCTGGGCCCAAGTTGTCCTATAATTATGCATATACTAGTAATAATCTTACACAGAGAAATTTGAATAAACTGGTTTCTCAACATCATTATGCAGATGATTATATTAGGAGGTACTTTTAGTAGAGCTTGTTTTTATGGGTAGTTTATACTCAACTGTGCCCATTTTGTTCTCTTGAAGTGTATGCTGTTCTGCCTCTTGTAAATATTAAAGGCTAGTTAAAAGTCCCTAAGATGATCTAATAAAGTCTTCATGAGTTGAGAACCTGTACAGATAATACAACATATGAATAAAAAGAACAGTGGTGGAATAAGATAAAGTTTTTTGTTGGAAGAATCTTATTTGACTGAAGGAAAAAAAAAACCCACACTTGTGGATAATGTTCTTGAGAAATTTGTGAACTAATCCTTTCAAATAGAATTACCATAGTAATAACACACAGCTTTCTATAACTAGATGGAAAGATAAGGTGTCACAAATTATACACGAATATGTTTTACCAGTTTTACTGGTACAGTAAGTGTACACATTTCTTATAAGGAAAATGCCATAATTTTAATAACACAAATAGTACATCAATAAATTTAAAATAATGAATAAAAATATTTATTGAAAATGAATTTTTTCTTTCTTTCTTATATATAATTTGAAAGCAACATTTTTTCATAACCAGTCCTCATCTTAGGGAGCCATTGAAAGCCTAACATTATTTTACCTTTTTTCATTTATCACTAGCTCTATTAAATATTATTTTAATGACCAAGCAGGCAGAGGTATATTTAAGTTTATTGGGATAAATGACTACATGATGCACAGGAATGCCCGGTATTTTACCATGTGACATAGTAAAATGACATATTGACATTCACATTGCTTGGGGAATTTTTTAATGGCTCAAATTGAAGTCCCAAGGGAAAGTAAATTTAACTTGATTTTTTTTTTGTTTTTGTCCTCATTCAAATGCTCTTACTGTAGTACCTATAGGATTTGTATAGCAGAAAAGTGCAGAAGAAGCCTCAGTTTTGAAGGTATGGTAGTTTCTAAGAAATCTCTTTCCATATATATATATATAT